ATTAAAATCGATAACATCATGGAGCAGCCCGAGGAAACGAAAGACCAGCGTGATTGTTCTGAGGCTTCTGCGTCCACTGACAACGTCTGCAATACCCCAGGTTACGATTGTGGGTTGAAGTCGCTTCTGCTCAAACTAGAGGTGGATGCCTGCTCTTCCGATGTTCAAGTGGACCCTCCTGACAAGACGAAATGTACTGAACAGCAGCGCAGACGTCGAGAGGGCGAAAACAAGCTGGACTCTGACTTGGGCAAAGAGTATGCAATGACGGCAAAGTTCAAAGGTTGTAAAGGCAACCTGAATAATAGCGCCTTTGTACATTTGCCGGAAACTTTCTTGTATGACCAGGCATCGGGTCCTGCTTACTGTATAAAGCACAGGTCTTTCGATAGTTTAAGTAATCCTACTATCAGCGAACAGTGTCTCAATTTCTCATCGCGCACAACTGTAGACCCAGCTGGCGGGAGCCCACCAGCTGCTGTTGACAACGTTTTACCTTTGCAGCAAGGCTTTAACGGAGAAACGTCTTATGCAGAAAGTATAATGGAAAATGATAAAACCTATCCTGCTTTCAGGACCATTTGCAGAGAATGCAAGCACCAGAATCCTAAATGTATCCCGCTTAGGTTTTCTGTTTCTGAAGCAAAATCGAAACTACGGAATAATCATCTACACCTCTGCGGTAAAAAGTGCAGTCAGTGTGGAAAGTGTAACCTTTTGTACTTACCACAAAGATGTCAAGTCGGTGTCCGAGCTAAGCGTCATCACAGGAGGCCATCTAGACAGATGAATCTGAAGACCAGTTATCTTCTGACCAAGACGTCGGGCGGATTCATGTGGCGCCCTGCTTTGCTGTGGCCCTTGCGTGAACATCACGCGCGGCTGTTATGTCGACCAGCCACTGGGATCAACGACCATGGATACGAATTGTATCTAGCACGACCTGTAAGCCACCATATTCTCTCCTCAAACAAATCTTCTAAGGATCACGTTGAAACGAAAACTTTGAACTGTTTCCAGGGTTTTACGCAATATGGAAGCAGTCAAACTGAAGATGATCAGTATCAGCAATCTCTATACTTCAGTCCAACACAACACGCCGAATCAGTCGAAGACTACTCAACCGATGTTGTTATCCCTGACCCAATGCCAGTACTGACGTATGGAGATAATGGAGATAACGGTGATGACAATTTTGGCTCAGGTTCACTCGACTATTTTGTTGAGACACTGTACGCTCAGCCTCCGGTTAATCCAAGATGCGTGACGTCAAAACCCAAAGGAAGCTTTTGTTATAGCGTAAAAAGTCAGGAGAGAAGTGTGGAATGTGTAGAGCCTTCTGCCTCAGAGGAAAAATCTTCATCGATGCCCGCCCCTACGCCACCCTTATTCTTAGAAAATGATCAAACAAGAAAGCAGTTTTACTGGTCGCTACCAGAAGGAGTTGGGAATAAGTTTGACACTCACAAACGACCATGCTCGAAACAATACGAATGCGTAAACGGCAAAATAAATTGTGTAAAATTTGAGCAATCTAAGAACATCGGTCGTGTCTCTCAGAATCAGGAAGAAAGAGATCTCGTCACTGTGATAGAAACAAGTGGCCGAAACTCACCTCCGAATCACTTCGACTTTTCATTTCGTTTCGACCCTCCTCTCACCGTGAACTTGGTGGAAAAGAACAATTCAAACGAGGCCGGGTCGCTTCTGAGAGACAGTGCGGGCGTGCGGTGTCCGGTGACGACAGATGACCAGTACTCTGGCATCGTGGTGCGCGTGGAGGGCGACGGGCGCTGTCTGTTCAGGAGTCTGGTCACGGACATGTCTTCTACGCTGCAGACCGCCAGAAGGGACGAGTACGGCAGGCCCGTGAGGTGAGCGGGTTCGAATTTAAAGTGCGGTCAAAAATTGGTAGCGGAACGTATTGTCAAATATCTCCTCAATTATCTAATATAAATTCCCCAGCTTTTGAACAGCGAATTGTATCAATTTGTCTTAACAGATCAATATTTTTGTGAATACCTGTTAGCTCTATTCTAGAAAATTCCTTAATAATAACTAATAAAAAATCCCAGTGGGTGGTTTCTATAGATTTTAAAAGGTTTACAACTTTGGGACGATGTCGCTTTTAGAAGCAAGTCTCTCACTTTTTTCTAATAGCGAGATTATGCTTGTTTTAAAATCTTTTAGTGAAAAAAAGTGTTCACTACAAAAATAATTTTTCTTGTAACTAGTTTTGCCACTAAAAAGTGTCTTGTGAGGTGTGATGTAGGTCATATGCGTACGCAAAATGTGTGAGAAGTGGGAGGTGATGTGAAGGACATTTGTTGTATTTTATATAAATTTATGAAGAAATTGTTTTTAAATTTAGCCTCATTTCTTGTGGAAAAATATGATTAGTTTAAGACAAATTGATACAAACGGCTGTGCAAAGTATGGATGGCATTGACTCACCAGTTAAAAAGATATCATTTGATGACAAGTTGCGCCACGAATTTTTGACCGCACTGTAGTATTAATTTACTTCCTTTATTCATCATTAAGAGGGTGGGTGTGCGTTTGTGTGTGTTTATTGTGGACGTGTGTGTGTGTGTGTGTGTGTGTGTGTGTTTGTGTGTGTATGTGTGTGTGTGTTTGTGTGTGTGTGTGTGTGTGTGTGTGTGTGCGTGTGTGTGTGCGTGTGTGTGTGCATGTGTGTGCATGTGTGTGAGGGGGGTGTATATGTGTTTATATGTGTATGTGTGTACGTGTGTGTGTGTGTGTACGTGTGTGTGTGTGTGTGTGTGTGTGTGTGTGTGTGTGTGTGTGTGTGTGTGTGTGTGAGTGTGTGTTTGTGAGAGGGTGAATGTGTGTGTGTTTGTTTGTGTGTGTGTGTGTGTGTGTGGTGTGTGTGCGTGTGTGAGTGTGTGTTTGTAAGTGTGTATTATGTTTTTATACGTGTGTGTGTGTGTGTGTGTGTGTGTGTGTGTGTGTGTGTGTGTGTGTGTGTGTGTTTGTGTGTTTGTGTGCGTGTGCGTGTTTTAATAGAAACAATCAAGGCACTGTTTGTTGTATTTAGAAGGGAAGATATTTTATTGAAAAAGACACAAATACTCGGGATGCGATGGGGGCACAATAATTGTACCGAAACGTTCCATGATTAAGTGAAACGATTCTGTGTAGGGTGCGATGAAAATATCTGATTGATATGCCTTGCTTTTAAATACTCTTGTGAATGAACAAATCATAAAAGAATGGGTCAGGGCGCCGACTTTTACTCAGTTGATATCATGCTGGGCCAGGGACAACTGTACTTCGATTTCCAAATGGATTAATTTTGTCTGAGTTTTCATTCGACGTGGCTCAGTCGCGTCATGGGTAGCAGTTAAATTCGGAGATCCGTCTCTTAAATAACGCTATTATGGTGAAAAGGACATTATATCCACATCGGACTGTAAGTATGGTCCGATCTGCTCGAATGAACACCTGTCCAAGAAAATAACTGGTTCAATTGACCACTCCCACCCCCCCTCCCCCCTCGTGTTTTAAAAATGTTATTATAATGACATCGTCCAGGAGATCAGCCAGTCTCAGATTACTACTTTTCTATTCGACAATGGGCGGTTGTCTTGAAATCTGAGATTTTTATTAAACATATTTTTATTTAACAGGAGTGCTTTATGTGATGTGAGATTGGCCAATGGCTTTTAATACTAAATAAACGTACTTACTTACTTACTATACATACTATGTCTTAAATGACTGAATCAACAAATGAATTAGTCTATCTAATGCCTATTCAGAATTTATTCAATGAAAGAATGAGTTCACGTAAGGTAATGTCTATTTAAAATTTGTTTTCAATGTTCTCAGGAGAGAAGAGGAAGAAAAAGAAACTGCAAGCGCTGACGATCTGCGGGCTCGAGTGGTTCGATTGATGAGAGATAACTTACACTTTTACTCTCAGCTCGAGGGAGGTGTACTCAATGCTGATCAGGTATGTGGGAAGCTGTAGGAGAAAATATGACATCGTCGATCTATCGTTTACTCAACTGTTTTACATCATTTGCTACGAAATCGAAGTCTAGCTTTATAAAGATCTATGGTCTCAACTCATAGATGTAGACAGTACTATTTTAAGATGTAGGTGACTGTTTGCACTAATTTACTAATTTTGTCAAGACATTTTTTAACTCCGATTTCAGCTGTAAAGTAAAACCAAAATTATCCCCCACCCCACAAAAAAATAAATTAAAAAATACAACAACCCACAAAGAAAACTCCCAAACAAACAAACTATGAACTAACGTGAAAACAACCAACTTGTGTCCAGAGCCCTCTTATGACCATTACGCAGTTGCGAACGCCGTAAAAACTTTTACAAAGATGTATTACTTCGATTGGCACTTGCGATAAGTTGTACCAGGCGGATGCGTCGGAGTAGGTAAATACCTTCACAAATATTAAAAACGATCTGGAGACACATCATCAACCCGCTTGGGCAATGTCATTTCTTCACAATAATATGATGTTCAGTGTTGATTTCTCTTTGTGTATGCCCGATTTCTAACCAGTCTGTTTCCATGATTTTTACCATAGCCCTTCTTAAAGTTGTTTACCACTGCTTAATGTTGTTCTCCATATGGATATGCTGCGTCACTAAAAGAAAACAAGAACCAGCATTTCATTGGTAAACGCTAAAAAATAATGTTCTAAGCCCAGAAAGCAACATTTGTTTTCAATAGAGAGAATAAATTGTTTCCTTCTTTTAATAGTTATACCTATTTTATGTTGTTTTTGTTTCGCTTTTTTTTCCACCTTCAAAATTTGAATTTTGTCACAATATTTCTTGAGCACATGCAACCAATACCACGGACGAAAGAACTGCGATAGACGAAGGAACTGCAATAACAACAATTTTCCAACAATTTGGGCTTATTACATTTTAACGCCTGGTTGACGATTTGGATTGCAGTATGTTTATTTTCGCTTTTGGAACATTGACAGTTTTAGCATCTAATTTTTTTTTAAAATCCTGTTGCAGCCCAGACCACTCAGCTACCAAAGATTCCTGGACCGCTTAGAAGCAATGGCCCGGCCCGGCACTATGCCAGGTGACCTTGAACTGAATGCTGTTGCTATGGTCCTAGAGAGGCCAATCCTCGTTTTGAATACAGATCTTCGCAGAATCACTGTATATGGACAAGAGCGTTTTCCCCAGGTAAGACTTGCGTGGGTTGGGAACAAAAAAAAAGGTGAGGGGGGGGGGGGTCTTCCTTTCGACGAAGTGTCTTACTATGCTAGAGGATTTTTTAAATAGTGATGATGATGATGATGATGATGATGATGATGATGATGATGATGATGATGATGATGATGATGGTGATGATGATGATGACGACCATGATGATTCATCATACTATTATTATTATTATTTTTATTATTATTATTATTATTATTATTATTATTATTATTATTATTATTATTATTATTATTATTATTATTATTATTATCATTATTATTATTATTAATATTATCATTATAATTATATTACTGTTATTATTACTATTATTATTATTATTATTATTATTATTATTATTATTATCATCATTATCATCATTTTATCATCATTATCATCATTATTATTAGTGAAATGAAGTGATTAAAACAAGGGACTGCGATAAAAAAGAAAAGAACAACGACAGCATCAACAACTAAAACACTACTGTTTTCAGGCACCAGAACAAGAAAGCTGCCAACTCCGAAAAATGCGAGCTCATTATACCGTTTCATGTTTATTTCTGTATTGCATTGCTCTTGTTTTATGTGTTCAACCTCAAACTCAAGCAACAATGATCGTGGATAAAAACCCACACAAACAAAAACGAAAACAAAACAACAGCAGCAGTAATAAAAATCATGGTTAGAATTCGTTGTCACCATATTAATATTATTGCTTTCAAACTGAGTTCAAAAGAAACAACGTGGGTGGTTGGTGGGTGCTCTGGTGTGGTTTGCTTCTTCTTTCCTATCAAACATCTATCGTCCTCATCTCCCCTTCTTTTTTATGTTTGTTACTCTCTTGTAACACCTCTAATCTTCTAGCGCTCATATGACCGTATGCAGTTGCGAGCGCCGTAAAACATCTGCTAAAACAAAACTAAAAGAAACCACAACAACAACAACAACAACAAAAGTCCACCATTGTGTTTTACCCAAGTTTACATCAAGTTCTCCGTTTTGCTTTTATCCGTTACTTATACCCTTTTGGGTGTCGCGGTACAACCCACATTAGGTTCTCCAACACTGAAATTCCCCTCAACCATTTCTCACAGATGCCAGTCTTAGCCGTCCGGTACACCAGGCTAGTGGCAGATGTCGGCCACTATGACGCAGTTCTTCTGGACCTCACATCGTCACCGCAAAGCTTCCTGCGGCGCTCAGTCAGTGACATGGAGGTGGACGAGAACGTGTGTGTACAGGCGGCCTGCAATGACTTCGTCAAACTCTCCCTGGGAAATCCGCGGGATAAATGTGGTATGCCGGATCTCTTCTTATCAACTTTTTAACGACAATGACAATGACAATGACAATGACAATGACAATGACAATGACAATGACAATCTTTATTCATCTCGCAGGGAGAAATTTGTCTTGGTCGTTAACAATGGCAGTAGACGTTACAAAAGTTACACTTAAAGGTGCACTCACGCAAACGCACAACAAGACAGGACATTGGGCCAAGTAAATACATGTCTCACGGACTGGGACAACCCGCTCCGTAAAACATTCATTCTCTCTCTCTCTCTCTCTCTCTCTCTCTCTCTCTCTCTCTCTCTCTCTCTCTCTCTCTCTCTCTCTCTCTCTCTCTCTTTCTCTGTTTCATTTGTAGCCCTGTGTGTTCAGTAACCTCACTGCAGTTGGCACGAATGAATTTCTATATCTGTCTGTTCTTAAAGGCCGTTGCGGGCACGCATCGCTAACCAAGAGTTACAAAGTACGAACTGCTCAATACCTGGTTTTGAGAAATTTGACGTGAAAAATGTTGAGTTTCATAATGAGACGTCAAGCTTTTTCGATTGCGATTCATTGAATATTATCTTGATGACAACTCCGAATAATCTTACGATTTTGATAGAGGAGATATAGCATTTGGTTTCCGTCCTCATGGTCTCAGTAACTCAAAACGGCCAAATACGTCAGATACAACTTTGTAATTTTAAAGTAGCGATACGTCTGACTAGCAGAAGACGAAAGACAATTTTGGGAAACCTTTCAAATATTTTTAACCATCATGCACAAACAAGAAATAAAAATTGGTGCCTTTTTGTGAAAAATATACATGATTTTGCCAGCTATTTTAAGTTTTAGATAAAAGGAAACAATTGAAAATGTGTATGAATAAGGAAGTTATGCCTCAAAGCTGTGTGTTTTCAAGCGTGGTCGAATGACCAGAATGCGTGTCCTAAATGAGTTAAACATTTTTTGTCCAAGTCTAGATAAAGCCTTTTTCATTTCAATGTAGAATTTGTTTTTCAAGATTTCTGAGATGTTGCCAATCTTCAGTTAGGGCGGAACTCTGGGGAATAAAGGAATTAAGTACAGAAGTAGCTGAAACACTCTCGTTGTCATTTCCAGTATCATACCAACGTGTGATATCCATAAATGATGGTTCCTCTACCACTTTGATGAAAGCTATATTATGAAAACATGGAACAAAAGAAAAAAATACTCTAGAAATAGATAAAAATTAAATAAAGTGCAAAAAGAAACAGAAAACCACATAACCAATATTCCCCTTTTTAATGTACTTATTTTTAACAATATTTCTTCCCTTTCTTACAGGAGATGGGGATGTCGCAGGCGCGAGGGGACCCACCAAAATGCAGGGAAAAGCTCAATATGGCTTGAACAAGGCCGTGAAGGAACCGAAACTGTTGGCAAAAATGGAATACAATTTCAACAGAGATCCCGGAGAAATGGGCATCTTACAATGTGGGGGTGACTTTAACCACAGTCATGCCACTGGTACTAAAAAGCGAACAAGTAAAGATGGGTCCAAAAACCGCTGGCCTCCTAACAGTGTCGATAAAGGAAGTAAAACGAAGCTGCACCGAGAAAAGACTTACGTGGAAAACAAGCAGAGGGTTGTCTCAAAAATGTGTGAAAAAAAGAAATGCCAAATGCCATCATTTCACGAGAAATGTAGCGAGACAGCTGAAAGTGAATTGAAAGCTGAAAAACGACCCAGCGAGACAGCCACACAGACTTTGCAGCCTGGTCGGTACCCAAGTAGCTTGATGGCTGGGTCGCAATCGGCTAAGATTTCAAGTTGCAGAAGCAAGGAGATCTGTGACCGTCACATCAGTGCGGGAAAAAGCGAAGCGAGAGTTACTGTACCCACCGGTGGAAACAGGAGTAATAAAGACGCAAATGTCGCCACCAAAGAGGAAAAAATTAATTCCGAGGGAAAAGAAAACCACGGACCTCGCATTAGAGGTCATTCAAAGAGGCGTTCGTCTAATCAAGACCAAGGTGTGAGGAGGAAGACAAAAACGGCCAGAGAACACAGCACTTCACACGTGCGAAAGAAGAAGGACGCTGATAAAAACGACAACAGTAGGTGCACTTTGAAAAGGCGTCATCGAGCAGAGAAAAGCGCTTCAGAAGACGAGGAACTGTCCTGCGAACGGCGCCCCACAAAGGCGAAACAACCGCGGGTCAGTAATTATGAAAACCCCTCTACCGATAGCGCAAAGAATAAGTCCGGTAATAAATGTCCGACGTCAAAAAGTTGCAAGCCGACAACGGAATACAACGAAAAGAAACAAAACCGACCACCAGGAAGCAAGAAATCCAAGACATTTAATCATTCGAAGAGAAAAGAGGGCGGCCTGAAACCGAGATCTCTTGCAAGCCCCGAGACGAGAGAAGAGTTCCGATTTGTTTGGAGACAGAAAAGTGACCCGAGCATCCACCCTCCGCGCGTTCCCGACATCCACGCCGCCGGTCAGATCAACTGTTTCCTGTGTGGTAAAGCGGTGGCGCCCGTGGGGCGGTCTATGCTCCAATGCTACCTGTGCGGGCGTGTGGCGCACAAGACATGCGCGGTCAGCGAATCCTCATGCTGGGCAAACAGTGGAGCGGACTCTGGAGACCTCTACTTCTTGTGCGCAGAATGTGTGCCGTTGTAACATAATAAGTCTATCTGTTGGCCGCCAAAAATCACAGTGTACATCCTTCTGAATTTACGTACCTCTGACAACGCCTAGGTTTAGGTGTTGCGCTTCATGCAAGGTAGTGGCACAAGAATATAAAGCCCTCTCCCATCTGCGTTATGCCATCAATTATAAATGAGACGTGTAATCGGTGGATGTATTATTAACTTATTCTTTTCTGGCGATTGACGTCTGACTGCCCTAATAAATGGTCTCAAATCTCCATAACGTAACTTTTGGATTGTCTACCTCTTCATCCCAAGGCAGCTGTTCCTTTACAATGGTTTTCTTTTTCCTTATGATATGTGTTTTCCTTTTGTTGTTAAATAACCCAAGCTTCTCTTGCGAAATCACAATCGCAGCGCTGGTCCAACATCATCAAGCAGAATACACTTCAGTCTTTGAACACGATCCTGTTTGATATGTAGTGTCATTGGGGTTAAAACGCTGAGCTGGTTTTAATTTTTTATCTCATTATCTTATTATCCCCAAAGTCTGTACATCATTCTATATCGATACTTAGCTAAGCTGAAGAGAAATAGCGCAGTGAACTAAGTCAATTTATGTACCTTCGCAGGTCAAATGATGACTATCTCGTATTGTCTGAGATAACGATAGCATTCATTTAAAATCCGATCTCAAAATGCATTTCATACTAGGTGTAAACGTATTATTTATATACCAAACACGTTTTTCGACAATTTTACACGTTTTGCCTTTTCCCAGAATGTTTTAACAAAATAATAAATGGTCTAAAACAATCTAAAAATCCCTTTAGTTAAACTTTGTTCTTTGCTACAAGTTTACAAGTTTTCGCCTATTAAAAAAAAAGAAATTTCTTCATTTTTGTTTTCGCTTTTGTTTCACTTTTAATAAGATCAATGCTCTTCTTTTTTGTTTTCATTTCTTTGTTTGCTTGTTTGAAATTTTATTTATAGTATAAGACAGATAATATCAAAGAGTCTACATAACAAGAGGGGCCACTCCTCTCTTTGAGCCAATTAAAAAAATGTCCTCAAAATTCCGTGGCGACTTCTTCGCAAATGCGCACCCTTTGCGAATAGAGTTACTCTACTTGAGTTTTAAAAATCAAAGTGAAACTAGCAAGTTGTTGGATAAATTTCAGAAGAACGCTTTTTAAAAATGGTTACGCTGACAAAAAACCTCTTCCAGAGGAAAGGGTGATTGTTTTCTTCGTTTAATTTGACTTTAGACTGAAAGGAGAGAGGTCATTAAAATAAAAAAAAACCCTAAAACTCCACACTGAACGAACCCGAACTCCTGATGAACAGCAGTCGATCTGCGCACGCAAGGAGGTGCTATTCCTATTCTCCTTCTGGAAAAACGAAAAAGAGCTTCAAAACAGACTTCAGTGCCATCTGAAGCAAAAAGCAGACTTCCGGCGGACACTTTTTTGGCTGAGTGGCCCATCTTGTTATGTACTATCTTTGATAATATACATCTTGCATATTAAGCTATAATACTTTATTTTTCTCAACGACATGGCGTAATAGATGCCCAAAGAAAGCTCAAATCAATAATACAATCATGTCTTTGAATCAAATAATATGTCATAGCATCATATCACACTGAGCGCGCGCGCGCGACGTGTGTGTGTGTGTGTGTGTGTGTGTGTGCGTGTGTGTGTGTGTGTGTGTGTGCGCCTCTCTGTCTGTCTGTCTGTCTGTCTGTCTGTCTGTCTGTCTGTCTGTCTGTCTGTCTGTCTGTCTGTCTGTCTGTACACATACACATACACACAAACACAAACACATATATGCTATTTAAGGCCTTTCATTCGAACGAAGTCACGAATCTTCTCCAGGTCTCCAGTCGTCTCCTTCAGCTTGCCGATCAGGCCTATCACATCCGGACATATCTCGTCTCAGAACAGGAATCGAGACCGTCCAACCACACGAGTGGCCGAGCCGGAAGATTACGATGACGTCATCAAGATAAATCCATCCATCTACTGGGGAAGAGATTACCTCCCTTCCTGCTATCATCGACTGGTGACAGCAGGAGAAAGTACTCGAGCTATCGTGTGCCTTGACCGTGGTGGGAATGTAGTAAGTGTTTTTGAAAAATGTGTTTCTTTATGTCCCTATCGGCACAATTTAGGTCACTTAGGAAGCGGGCTTCCCTCTACCCTGTCTGTCAGGGCGGAGAAGGACTGAAAGGGATATATCATCCCAGCAGAAAGAAAGACCAAGAGTAGTAGTAGTAGTAGTAGCAGCAGCAGTAGCAGCAGCAGTAGTAGTAGTTTTTTGTGTTTTGTTTGGGTTGTGTTTTACGGCGCTTGCAACTGCATAAGGCCATATGAGCCCGCCGGACACATTGCCGGGTGGCGGCCGAAGCCTACTCTTATCGATTTTAGACCACCAAGGGATCTTTAGCGTGCACAACTTACACATGGGACCTCCGAGATTTTTCGCCCTTATCCTAGAAGACTAAGGTGTAGATCTTTCCTACCAGAAGATCAGGGGTGTATCTGAAAGACAGTAGTAAGAAGGCGCCAAAGAGTGGAAGTAGAAAGAGGAGTCCAGAGGAGGGGGCAAAGGAGATGAGGGGGTGGGGGAAGAAAGCGGGGACGAAAGCAGATGACAGAACATTGTTGGAGAGCAGGAAAGGAGGTGAAAGGAGACCATTTTAGAGAAGAAAATGTTTCCGTCGCTACCCAGATTCGAATCCTTCCAATGAGAGGCGAACACCTTAACCTCTAGGCTACGAGAGCTCCTGTAGCAGTAGTAGTAGTAAGCTGTTGTTATTGTAGAAGTATCTTCATCCTTATAGTTATTGTAGCCTGGGATTTATGATAGTTCTAATGACTGTAGCCATTTTAAATGTTGCTTATGTGAGACATTGTTGTTAAATCAGGCGCTCGTCAAAATAATGAAAACAAAGAACTGGGGTTTCTCTGACAGACAGGACATTTTTTGGAACATCTTTTTGTCTCAACACGTGTCCATTTAAAAACTTATTGTGTATAGATGTTACTAGAAAACGTTGATAAAAGGCACAACAAAAGTAAATTTCCAGTTTCAAATGACACTCAAGCTTTGGAAGTCATTGAACTTTTGCTGTTATTTTCTCGTTGATTTTACCTCTGACACCAGGTGACCTTCATCTAATTCAATTATAAGTACATGTATCTCGACTTCTGTTCAAGATAACTGGGTATTTTGTTCATCAAAAGCAAGAAGGATTATCAAGCTTTGAGTAAGGCGATATCAATAACTCTATATGCCCCCAAATCGTCAAGAGCCTGTTTCCATTGCGTCGTGACACATATCTTTGTGTTCTGTAGGTCGGTTTCTCGGTAGGAGAACTCGTGGACGGTGGTCAGTCCCTGGTTCTCTCCTCTGGACGCGTGATGACGTCATTCCAAGGCCTGGGACTAACTCGTCTCATGCTAGAGGATTTACGCAGTCACTTCCTGTCACTCGGGGTCAGGGTCAGGCGAGAAATGATGGTGACTAAAGGGACTGAGCTGGCAGCAAGCAAACCGTCTTTCTCAGAGGAGTACAAAGAGCGTCTAACAAGGGTATGTTTTAAGCCACGCTCTTTCATTTCTTTAACAAAACTTAAATGATACGACGATGCCACAGTTTGGCAATATTTTGTCATGAAATATGAGGTCTGAACAGCGCAAGATGAAAAGTATCTGTTGGTATGTACTAGGCACATAGGATAAAGACGTACATTGATATGATACTAAAAAAACAACAACCACCCAAGCAAAACAAACAAATGAACTCCCCAATTCAACAAAGCCGTAGTGTTTGTGCTCTTTGCTGATTTCCTCTTGTTTCCTTCCCAGCTGTAACTTGGTCTTTTTTAAGTTGTGTTCCTTATGTAAACGTTTATTTGTCCCCTTTTCCTTGCTCTTTTAGAATAATTTTTAAAAACTCACATAAAAAAAAAAAATTAAATTAAAAATTTTTTTTTTTTAAATAAAAAAAAAAAAAGCACATATATGTATGGCTCTTTCCGTCTATGCAGACGGTCAATTTAGCTTAATATGGTCTCAAGGTTGTCTTCATGCAGCTTCTTTCATGGCTAATTCTTCCTATGTTTGAAGTGCAGATTCTGTCGCAGTGCTTGCATGTCAGTGTCGTAGATCGAAGCTCTGTATTTCCGCTGTTTTCCTTTCGTCGTTGGCGCTTCTCAGCCTGGTTGTTTCTAAGGCTGTTCTCTAGCATTTTAGTTCTTTCCCTTATAATTTTCCTCCATGTTTTCCGGTCCTCAGCTATTTCTTCCCAGATGTTAAAATCTACTCCAAGCTTAGATAAGCTGTTTTTACGGGTGTCTTTGTACGTCAATTTTGGTCTTCCTCTTTGTCTCTTTCCCTGGGCATAAGAAAGTGAATGCCGCCCACCCCGGCAGACACCTCAAATGCTTTTCTCACGTGCAATAACAGATGGTGTGTAAGCTCAGCAGCACTTGTACATTAGAAAGATCGTATGACATGTATACCTTTAATAAACTACACAGTGCGCTGCCGATCCATAGAGAAGTAACTTCGGAATCCGGTTGTCATCCATTCTCTTGACATGACCAAGCCATCTCAATCGTTTTAAACACAGGATAGTTGTCATGCTCTGGAGGTTTGCCTCTGCCAACACTTCAACATTTGTAACCTTGTCACGCCACGAAATGCCTAAGATCTTGCGGCAGCATCTGAGATGGAAAATGTCGAGGCGCTTTTCTTGCCTGCTGTACAAGGTCCGTGTTTCAGATCCATAAAGGAGTGTGCTGAAGTCACATGCTTCGTAAATCTTGATCTTTATTTTGATGGTTAATCTTTTGTTTTCCCATGCTCGTTTTGTCAGCCTTCCAAAAGTTGTTGCTGCTTTCCCTATCCTGATGTTGATCTCATAATCAAGTGATGTTGTTGAGCTATTGGTAGACCCCAGGTAACAGAACTTGTCCACTGTCCTAAGTTCTTTGTCGTTCAGCCATATATGGCTCTGCTCTGCACCTTCTTGGGTAAGGATGACTGTTTTCTTAACACTGATGACCAAGCTAAAGACCCTGCATGCTGTTGATAGGCGGTCCATCATTGTTTGTAGGGTTGATTCACTGTGAGCAACAAGAGCAGCATCATCGGCGAAGAGAAGGTCTCGTACGTACTGTTGTTTTGTTAATCTTGGACTTGGCCTTGAGTCGAGCAAGATTGAAGAGCGACCCATCAGTTCTTCAGTGGAGGAAGACATCCCCTGTTGACTCTTTGAATGCGTATTGCATGGCACATGACACACACACACACACACACACACACACACACACACACACACACACACACACACACACACACACACACACACACACACACACACACACACACACACACACATATATATATATATATATATATATATATATATATGTATATATAAATATATATATGTATATTCGTATTTTTATTATTTCTTCTACAGGATATACTGTGCTATGATATGGACTCGCATGATCAAGAACAATATCTCCACCATTGTGAAGGGGACTTAAGCCAGTCACTCCAGTGCCATGTTCTTGATGCAGCTCGCTTGGAAGAGATGTCCAAAGTGTTACACATGTCAACGAAACCCACGGAGCGACAACTCGTGGTCAACTGGACCCCTCTTTGCCTCCAACCTGAGAACATTCCAAAGTTATGCCCCTCGAATGGATACAGTCTGATTTCTTTCGCTTTTTCTGAGAGAGAAAGCGCATCTATGTTCGAGTCGTTTGCGAACATTAACGATAGCCATAGCTTTACACAAGGCAAAACAACTCAAACTACTGATATTCAAAGGCCTGAGGAGGATTCTTGTCACACGGAGAAGCAACCTATTCGATTTGAGATTGGCGCTGAGCAAACAGAGAGCAAAAGTTCGCACATGATGTTACGTTCGTCGTCAATAGTTGGGACAAGCGTTGCTGTGGAGACAAGTGAAAACACGAACTCAAGCCTTGCACATCGCAACTTTTCTGCGCGGTCTGACAACGATTTTCGTTATCAAAGTCATCAAGCACCAGCTTTATTAAGTTTTGGTAACTTCTTTCAATGCCGTCTGGGCCTCGCCTACAATCTGGACTTACATTTGTTGAACCTCAGTGATCGCAGTTACTATATTCGGCAGGAGGAGCTTACACACCATCTGTTATTGCACGTGAGAAAAGCATTTGAGGTGTCTGCCGGGGTGGGCGGCATTCACTTTCTTATGTTTCTAGACTGCAACCCAGGACTACAGCGATGTGTGAAAGAAATCATGGAGGGGAAATTTCGACTGAGACGAGGGGTTTGGTCATCTGCTCAGCAGCACTTGTACATTAAAAAGATCGTATGACATGTATACCTTTAATAAACTACACAGTGCGCTGCCGATCCAATTCAGTCAAATTGAGTTAGGGTTAGCCAAATTTTCCTTCATGGAGGAACCGAAGCCACAATTTAGAGGCACAGTACAACCAATTCGACCAGCGAACTTGTAAAACAAAAGCGTTTGATTTTGAAGGTTGCAATCAAATTTACTCGAAATCGGTTGGATGGTGTCAACATGGTAGCTTTTGCCACTCCATGGAGAAAAGTCTGGATGGCCCCGACTCATTCAAATGAATTTGATTGACAGTATGCACTCTGTGTAAATATATGAATGTATCTATCCTTCGACTTTCTGCGCCGTCATGGAAACTCGTCCACTTTCTCTCTCTCTCTAAACGTTGTCACAGGCAGAACATAAAAAGTGAAAAGTACACAGATTATATTTTTGTGGAAGTGTGAGATTGCAACATGGGAGCTGGACAGAACATACAGTATTATAGTAGTATTTGTAAATTAATTTTAAAAAATGTTGATAGATGATCAGGGTATCTTCAGCGAGTCTTGTTCTTCATTTTCCGGGAGCATCTTTGCCACAGAGGACCGGCGGGATTGTCTCATTGGGGCAGCGCTGGGGTCCACCTGTGACAGCAAAATGAGGAAGGTACAAGTGAAGAGTAGAGGTAAATAATCATTGATAAATTCTAAATTATTACTGGTTGATTAATGGAGGTTAATTATTTTTTAGGTAAAAAGAACAACAGCAAAACCAAACAACATGCACAGCGGTGTGTTAAGCTCTTGTGTAGGGAAATTGATGGTGTTTGCAGGGTTGTGGATTTGGTTTTATTTTATTTATTTATTCATTCATTCATTTGGGG